AGGCGCAGTTTGCTTGTTACCGTCACGGACGACGACGAGTGCGCGTCACCAACGTCTGAGTACAAGCAAGAGGCCGACAAATCGCTTGTCTAGGTGTCGGCACTTGAAAATGACGCATATGCACCAAGATCCAAAATAAGATATATAATCTCGTATATATATAGAAATACTCTTTCTTACGGCGCAGTCTACCTGGTAGACTGACTCCGATAGGTGCGATCTACCAGCACTTAGAGGGTCAGTCTACGGCACTTAAGAGGGTTATTCCGCACTTAAGAGGGTTATTCCGCACTTAAGGGGTACTCGTTTTGGATTCGAAATGCTCGCATTTGTTGTTATTCACAGCACGGGCGCTGGGCGCTCATGGAGGAAGTAATTGGCTTGTATGTGCCTCCATAATTATAGCAACTGCAGCGATTGCCACTCGCTACCTCCACGAAGCAATGCCTAAGGGCCCAGGAAGGCTCCCTACGTACCAGGAATATGCGATCAATCAAATACCTGAAGCTTCCACGGGCCTTTAGTGATGCATTCGGCATTTGCAGCCGCTCACTAAAACTAAAACTGACAGTAATACTCGCGTACTCGCACACAAGTACGAGCATACCGAACGAGCATACCGAACCTTCATGCCAAACCTTCACAATACCTTCACAACGAGAGCAAAAACAACGCTTGATAACCAGCTTGCCAATTGTCAATATAAATCTATTTTATAATCCTATAATCAAAATTGACTCACAGCTCAAGTCGATCAGCTTTGCCTTCATAAGCAAACGGTCAGGGTATCGAACCCGTGATTTTGCACATTTTTCGCAGCTCAAATAAAATTCACCTATCCTTATTTTTGATACGCTACGAGCATGGCGCCAACGCTAACCAAGTTACGCCCTGTACTGCGCCTTATGCACACGCACACTGTGATGTTCACCAATTACTGCGTTATGAATATACATATTCGAAGCGCTATGCGTCCAGCCCCCGCATCGCTTGGAGGACAATAGACCGCTTCCTGGTCGGTACTAAGTTAGTAGAAAAAAACGCCCTTTCGTTGCGCCCCTGCAAGCACTAGCGGATAGTAGTAAAACGGCAAACCGAGCTGTGTACGCAAGCCCTTATATATATAAGAACGTGTTCCGCGTTATCTTCATTATGACACAAAGTCTTCGCATATGTAGCGCTACGCCTGAATGCGTGGGAGTTGGCTCCAGCACTTGGTCGTTCGGAGTGAGCTGCGTACGGAGAGATCCATCCCGTGGTGGACCCCACTCGCCGAGTCATAGCCCTTACGTAATGAAAGTGATTGATGTCATCCCTACGCTAGTGGGCTGGAGCTCCAATGCATCGAGTAGAGCCCGGGAGAGGAAATATGGTCCTGTGTTCCATCGCTCTTTGCCACAGCAACAGCCACTCTTTCGTACTTCCGTGAGGCGCCCGTTTAATTAAGCATACAACACGACTAGAAAGACAACATAAAGCTTTGACGCACTGCTAGCTCTACAGGAAGGCTATACCTTGCTCACTTGCATGTCCAAACCCGCGCAACGACTCGATATGCATGCCCGCAACTAGTGTCCCTCCAGCAGATTCAAATACCGTCGCATTCGAATCTTCTGCCTGATTCATTCCGGATAATTCATTTCCTGTTGTCTTCATCCGCCGGGATCAATGCGCAAACGCGGAACGCCGCGAGAAAATTCCATTGGCCGGCCAGGCAGGTCAACAGCCACATCAAGCGTCACGTCAACAAACGCGTATCCGGAAATAGCTCTTATTGGCTGGAATGGTGGAGCATTTCATACAACCTTGCATTTGATTGGTCGGAACAGAAAAGAACACGTGAAGCCATCGGACTTCACTTGACGCTAGCTTTCCATTGGCTCGAATAGACTGACTGGCCAGGAGCGCCCAACATTTTGAAACTCTAATCGCCATTTCACTTTTCAATTTGCTTCCGACTGCGCACATGGCCGACGGCCAACAAAGTCTGTCGCCGGGCATCAAGGCTATTTGTCCGGAAGGGCGCCGCATCACCGGCATTCCGGCCACGCTCGCCGCCGCCGCCACGGACTAATGCAACAAAACTCGCACCACGGTCAAGACGACAAAATCTTCGTGGTGGCCAGTCGTTCAAGCAGGTTGCCAGGACAGTCGAGCAAGGCGTCGGACACGTGCTCGATCGCTACGGGCGCGCCGTCGGACCAGTCAAGCGGCAGCAGGGCGGCAACGGGTCGGTGGGGCGCCGTTTCGGCTCTGTCGGGCGCCGTGTCGAGTCGTACTTTGCGCCGTCAGGCCCATCGGGCAGCAACGGGTCGGTCGTACGCCGCGTCAAGTCGGTCGGTCGTACGCCGCGTCAAGTCGGTCGGTCGTACGCCGCGTCGTGTCGGTCGGTCGGACGCCGCGTCAAGTCGGTCGCGCGCCGCATCGTGTCGGTCAGGCGCCGTATCGGCTCTGTCGGGCGATTTTATACCGCGCCGCTGACGCGGCGCATCATGAGCTTCTTCGAGCATCAAGAAGCCTACCACGCAACCGCGTGGCCCACCCGACGGTTGCATTGCCAGGTCAAGAAGCCGGAGAAGATACAACATGGTATGTCCAACCGTCTGTTTGAGAAGGCGTGAATAGTGTGCTCGATAATCAAGTCTCTTGCTTTCCCCGCATTTTGGTCGTGTTGCGTGTTCTTTAAGGTTTTCATCGATATAGGCGTCACCGCGGCGATGACGTGCTCTGTTGTCGTCATTCAAGGTACGATGGCGTATGCTCAAGCACTGCCGTCTCTTGCCCTTTTCGACAACTCCCGGCTTTGGACGCGCTGCGCGGCCCGTTCTGCACCCGATTGCTACCGACGCCATGCTCGTGGTTCGCTTCGACGGCGCCGTTGATTCTCGTCTTTCCTGCGGCTGCGGAAGAAGGCGCCGCCGCAGCATTGAAGTCCTCTTCCGGTCAGCCCGACACTCGAGCCATTTGCGCCCGCGCGGCCTGCCGGTTCCGCTTCACGTGCAGGACTCGCTTGCTTTCTGAAGGCGTATGCGCACACCAAAATTGAAGAAAGTGCACTTGGCGCAGGCGATGTAGCAAAGTACCCAGGCGCGCGTTTTTTGTAAACTTGATATATTGATACTTTTGTGTTCCTAGTTGCTATTTCGCACGTATGCGCAAAGGAAGAGCTGCAGCGCGCTGCCTAGTTGTCTACTAGCTTTGAGCTAATTATTGTTTTGTCGAATGCTTTTTGTACGACAATTTCCTCCATCGCTGGAGGCTTGACTATGCTAAACCGGTCACATCCGGTTGCGCTGGCCAGTCTACCAGTCTACCCAGTCTACCACTGAAAATCACGCAATGATCACATATCTTTATAATCTTGTCTTATTGTAAGCTAATATGAAATTGTGAATAGAGTACGTATTGCGCGAGGAGGCTTGACAGTATCTGCGATGCAGCAGCAAGCATCGCGGGTTTCGGAGGGTCCCATGCACACACATATTTTGGCTGACCAATGAGAACGCAGATATGAGATCATTTTGTATAATCACATACTAGTACTACATAAGCCACAGACCGCACACAACACAGGAATCGTCTGATCAGGTGTAACCCGGTGATTCCAACCAACTCAATGGACCCATGCATCTACCTGCCGAGGTAGATGCCGCTAGGTAGACGCATTCATTCGAATGCAAGACTTCTAATATTAGTGGGAGCTCAGTCATCGGCGTGTCCTGGACGTTGGTCGCTGGAATGATGGTCTATGTTCCGAGCCGTACTTCCGACGTTGCAAGTGTCACTGCGCAGGTGATCTTCAAAATTCAAAAATCCCTAGTCGCAGAACATTAAACAAACGGGATCACGGAACTATCGCTGTGGGTGGCTACAGTCGAGTGGAGTGGTCGACATCCGGTCCACGGCAACAAATTTCATGAAGCGTGTGCAACCGTCGACGCCATTCCAACGACTCGGCCAAACGAGCGGTGGCCACGAGAAAAGGGCCGTGGTACCCACACCCAGTGCTCGGTTTCTCCTGGCAGAGCCTTGGTAACTGCGACTTGGTCCGGTGTACTCGGTTTGTCCTCCTGCTGTCGCTGCCGCCTCCTCTCCCAAAACACGTCATTTTCATTTTTGCATCGTCATGATCCAAGCCATCGAGACTGCCGCAGCCTTCTTGGACTCTATCGCGCCACTGACAATCGCAGATCCTGAGGGACTGCAACTCATTGGCATCGTCGCGCGCGTCACTACCGGCAACCATCACTTTGTCTCGGTCGACGCAACGACCGGCGAGGTCCGCGCCTGTGCCCTTGTCACCAGCCGCGGGCTCATCATGAGCCCGACCATGGAAGCCACCGACGCCCGTGCGCTTGGCCTCCTCGTCGCCTCAACCGTGCCCGGTTTAATTCCCGAAGCACGGGGTCCGAAAGCGAGCCTCCCAGCATTTCTCGACGGCTACACCTCCAAGCACGTGACGGCCAAGGTGACACCGCACCATCACTTGCTGCTCTACGTGCTCAACCCAGCGGCGCTGCCGACGAACGTCAACGCCATCGGTGGTCGGACTGTGGTCGGTGCCGCGGCGCTGGCAACGACTGAGCACAAGCCTTTGCTCCTTGCGTTTATGGCGCGCTTCTACGACGAGGTCGGTGAGCCCTCGACGCCCGCCGCGATTGAAGCCAGCCTCGACGCGCAGATGGCACGTCAAGGCATGTATGTCTGGCTCGTGGACGGCAGTGTCGTGGCCTGCGCCGGGCACTCGGCCCCTGTGCCTGCCCCCGATGGTATTATACGTCCAAGAAGGACACTATTGTCTTATGTGTCTGTGATGACTAGGGTCGTTTGCGCTGTATCGCATCATGACGGTGTTTACACCGGAAGCGCATCGGGGCAACGGGTACGCGTCGGCGCTGACGGCGAGTATTTGCCACAACCTGCTTGCATTGCGTGACGGACCGCCAAGCCGCCTCATGCTCTTTGCAGACGCGACGGTCGCGGCGGCCAACAAGGCATACCAACGCATTGGTTTTGTTCAAAAGAGCGAGATGATTACAGCGCGTGTCGAATCGACCGAGTCATAAGGCAGAATTCATACAGCGTTTTCAAGAGTACATCAACTGCAATGTCTGCCTTCCAAACACCAACGCGTTGGGCTGTTTTCTTTACTGTCTCTGGCTCAAACACGCGTGTGTGAGCAATCGCTGGAGCTCGGCATCCTGGACGGCAGCAGCGCAACGCTGGGCGTTGGCGCCAGCGGCATTGCGCCAGAAATGACTACAAACACTGGCCAGTGCCCAGTCCACGACCGCCCCGCGCTTCAAGAGTGTTGTTGCGCGCGCTTCGACGGATGGCAGGAGCTCCAAGTTGGCCTTTTGTCCTTGGGTCGTCAACTCGGACGAGGTGAGTTCGCGCAGCGTTGGGCGCCAGCGGTCCGGGAGCACAAACAAATCGAGCAGAAAGAGGACGTTGTCGATGGCGTCCGTCGGGTGCATGCAGAGTGGCAGGAGCCGCTGGCTCTTGGTCGCACACTGCGGCACACCGGCGATCGCACCAAGCGCGGACCGCGCGGCTTCGATGCTGGGACACCACTGCTTGAATGTCTCGGGACTTGTGATGGTGATCTCGGCTTCGAGTACGCTTTTCCAGCCGAGCTCGGGCTGGCGCTTCAAGATACGCGCCGCGACGTCGGGTCTGCCGTGCCGCCAGGCTTCCTTGACAGCCGAGACCGACCCGCCTTCGTGTCGATGCGTCAATAGAAAATCGACTATCGGCCACGCGCTGCTTGTCACGGCGCCGTCGAGCGCGGCGGTCGTGCAGCCAGCCGGCGAATGCTCGTGGAGGTACTGGACGAGTGCGAGACTGCCTTGGGTGCACGCCTCGTCCAACCACGCCGCGCGATACGGAACCTCGAAAGCCACCAAAAGTCGAATGACCTCGATGGTGTAGCGCGTGATCGCAAGCGACTCGAGTGTCGGAAATGTATACCCGAGGGAGAGTAGATGCTGCGCGATCGACGCATGACCGTTCTCCAGTGCAATCCCAACGACGCGGTTTCGGCTACCGCCTTCGCTTCGGTGGGCCAAGAGGAAGCGCACGACGGGCTCATGGCCGTTGCCAGCAGCGTCGTCGACAGCAAAGACGGTGCAGTCGTAAGTGCCAAGAGAATGGAGGTACTGAACGACCGCAAGGTGACCGTTGGCCGCCGCAAAGTCGAGCATGTTAAGCGACGCACCCTCAGTTCGGTGCTCGGCGAGGAAGCGGACAACGTCGAGATGGCCGAGCGCAATGGCTTCGTCAAGCGCCTTGACGGTGCAGCCTTCGGTTCGGTTGAAATGAAGAAACTCAACGACCTCCAAATGACCGTTGGCCGCCGCCTCGTCCATGGCCTTGACGGTGCAGCCTTCGGTTCGATGCGCATGCAGAAAGGCGACGACCGCCAAATGCCCATTCGCTGCCGCCTTGTCGAGCGCGTCTGTCCGACAAGAAAAGCCGAGCTCGTGGAGCTGTCGTACGAGCGGCAGCCACCCTTGTGCGGCAGCGTCCTCCAAGAGCGACGGGTACGCGAGCCACGGAAGCAACTCGAGGGCCAGCATGACGTTGGTCAGCGTACCCTGGACAATGGCCGACCGGATGTCGGACGAGAGGACACCATTGTTGCTGACGCCAAAGCGCACCAGCAGCATGAGGGCCTTCGAGTCGTTGCTGCGCAGCGCTTGCGCGAGCGCCCAACGCGTTTGGGTACCTTGTCGCTCGACGAGCGCGTTGAGAGGTCGGCGGAGCTCGGGCACGTTCCTTCGCTGGTTCAGAAGAAACTCGGCAATCTCGATGCGGCTGCTGGTGAACGCCAGCATGATGGCGTCTTCGGACGCGAGATCCGGACGACACCGAAGGATGCGCTGGGTGAGGCGCAGACAACCTTGGGCAATGGCCACGTGCAGCGGCAACCGCTCATCGCGCTCAAGGCCTCTCAGACCGTACAGCATGGCGCCGAAATGAGCCATTGGCGAGAGGCCGTCGGTAAAGCGAGAGTGGAAGGACGGGTCGACAACATACTGATGTCCGGCAAAGCCCACGAGGCAGTCGATGGCGCGGAAGGCCTTCTGGACGTCGGCGTAGACGCCAGACTGGAAGCAAAAGACGACCGACGCAAGCTCGGGCTGCTGGAGCACGACGCTCCCAAAGTTGGCCATGCAACTATGGCAAAGTGGTGCTCTGCATCAGAGGTCTGCACGGGATTTTCGACCCACCCAACCCAGCCCATTGGTTAAAAAATATTTTTCGACCCACCCAGCCCAGCCCATGGGGTCTTTCAACCCACCCAGACCCATACCCAGACCCACGGGTCGATGGGTCTGCTGAGGGTCAATGGGTCCAATATAAAAATATCAATCAAAACAATTGACCAAGCAAAATAGGAGAGGAGGATTGGGCATCTTGTCGTCACACCAGTCAACGGTGACGAGCTTGCGCTTCGCGCCGCGGTCCGTCGTTGCCGATGAATGGTACATGGCGTCCTGCGTCGAGGTTGGAGCGTTGGAAGCGACGCGAGCCTTCGGTGAAGCGGGCAAGTCGGGCATTTCCGTCGCAATGTCCTTGATTAGTGCGATCGCCCGCGTCTCTTCGTCGGCCGAAATGTACTCCTTCTTGAGCGAGCCGAGCTTCGTCGGGTCGAAGAAAGGCGGCCGCGAGATGGATGTCGCTGAAAAGGATCTTCTCCGTGAGCACGTCGCCAACTGCCTTGCGTAAGGCAGCGATATCGCTGGAGTCGGCGTCATCGGGAAGGCAATGCTTGCGTAGCGCAGAGACGAAAGCAAGTCACGGATTGAGGACATGAAGATCACCGCAAGAAGACTTAAGTGTTGTCGAGAGATGACAAAACTGAGGTCATTATTCACACATATTACATGTAGCTGTCGGCATTCACGAGGCGGGAGTCGGCGGAGCTCTCGGTGGCATGACCGCATCACGCATTCAGAAGCCACGAGTCGTCATGGGACGTCGTCATCATTCGCTGACGATTACATGATCGAAGCTGGGTCGGCATGGCCGCTGCCCATGCGCCAACCCGACCCAACCCATGTTTTTTTCGGGCCGACCCAACCCAACCCGGCACCACTTTTTTTTTCGACCCACCCAGCTGGGCCCACGAGCCCGGGTTGGGCCGAGCCGAGTCATGGGTCATGGGCCAATGGGTCATTCTGCGGATCTCTGCTCTGCATGGATACCGGTATGTCATTTGGCATGCGAACTTCATTCACCGGCGTCCTCGAGATCCCAGAGTGCACGTTGCGAGTGCACACGTGTACCTTCACTCACGGCGCGACTTTGCAGCTGTGCGACAGACGCATGTAACGTCTGGAGCTGGAATGGACGGTCTCGGTTGCTGGCGGTTTCAGGTCGGTTGTCCGCATATCACTTGGCCACCTCTTGTTGCGTGCATTCGCAAGGCTAGCAATTTGCACCAATTTATGAACGATGCCTGCACCAGAAACTCAAACAAATAGAATGCCACACTACAAAGTTACACATGCGACTCGTCGACGCGCTTGTACTCGGTCGTTGGCACCGGGCACTCGATCGGTTTGGTCTCTTGGCGCTTGTACGTCAAGACGCTGTCGGTCGTAAAGACCACGAGCGCGATCCAAATCACGATAAAGCCAATGAGCTTGGTCGTCGTGAACGGCTCGTCGTAGAGGAAAAGGCCCAGCAGAAACGTGATCGTCGGGCAAACGTACTGCAAAATGCCCATGAGAGCCATCGGGATGACCGGCGCCGCCTTGGCAAAGAGGATCAACGGCAAGATCGTAATCACGCCCGTGCCCACGAGGAGGAGATTGGTCTTGGTGTCGACGTGGCCAAACGCCCCGCTGCCCTGCGCGTCGACGCAAACCAAGTAGATGGCTGCCGGCACGAGCATCAAGCTAGTCTCGAGCGTCAAGCCATGGAACGAGTCGAGCGGCGCCATCTTCTTGGCCAAATTGTACAAGCCCGACGTCGTCGCGAGCGTGATGGCGAGGTACGGGAACTTGCCGTACGCGATCGTCGGGATCAAGACGCCGACGAGCGCGATGCCGAGCGCGATCCACTGCCACTTGGAGAGCGATTCCTTGAGGAAGACGCGACCGAGAACCGCGTTGACCATCGGGTTGATAAAGTACCCGAGGCTGAGTTCGATGATGCGGTTCGAGTTGGTCGCAAAGACGTAGATGAAGAAGTTGCCCGTGAGGAGGACGATCGCAATGCCGTAAATCAAGATATTGCGCTTCGTAAAGGCGACAGCCGCGTACGCGCGCCATTGGCACGTCAGAAGCACGATGGCGAGGAGGATGAGGCCGGACCACAACACGCGGTGCACGGCGACTTGCATGTCGGGCACGTCCGGGAGCTGCTTCCAGTAGATGGGAAAGAACCCCCACATCGTAAACGCCGTGAGCGCGCAGAGGACGCCGTGCTGCAGTGACATCGACATGGCAAAAAGCAAAGTGACGTCGCTGGACGTGGGAGTTGGTCACGCTGGGATACGCAAGATACGTGGGTGCGGTCCACAGCATCCACTCGTTCTTGTACCTGGAGCAATCATTGCTTGTCGCGAGCGGTGCCATCGACGCGATACTGGAAGGCGATCGTTTTGAAGTGGTTTTAGTCGTACATTAGTACATTAGTACACCGAGAAAGTGCTCAACTAGACGTTTTTCGGTTATCAAGACAACGGAGGCTATGCAGGAGCAGGTTGGACGTCCCACGTCGGTTGGATACGTGGCTGCAATGTGTCGAGGGTGTGACGTTGGCGCGTCACGCCTCGACGATGCCAGCGACGGAGCGTTCATCAACTGCCTGTGTGATGACGTGGCAGCGCGAGCAAGCAGTCAACAAAGCAACCAAGACACAATATTTTTAAGCTTATACTGTCTCCTTCTCCTTGGACATCTCCACGTAGCTCGCGCTCGGTTCTTGGATAGCCACCGCTTTCGAACTCCGATGGTGCCAGTAAATGCCTTCGGCTGTAAACAGTAGGAGCGCCAGCCACACCAAAATGAACCCCACCAGCTTGTACGTCGAGAACGGCTCGTGGTAGATGAGCACGCCGACGAGGAACTGCAGACTCGGACACACATATTGGATGACGCCCAGCAGACTCAGCGGGATGCGCTGCGCCGCCGACGAAAAGAAGAGCAGCGGGATGATCGTCACGACGCCCGCCAGCAGCATGAGGACAGTCTGGACCGTGTTGACATGGAGAAAGGCTGCAGTGCCGTTCGCTTGGACGACAATGAGGTACGCTAGCGACGGGAGAAAGAGGATGCCGGTCTCGAGCGTGAGGCCGTAGAGAGAGTTGAGCGGCGCCTTCTTCTTGACGAGGCCGTAAAGGCCAAAGGAGAGTGCGAGGCAGAGTGCGATCCATGGAAACTTTCCGTAGGCAAACGCTACGACAAGGACGCCGGCAGTGGCCACAGCGAGCGACGCCCACTGGAGATACCGGAGTCGTTCTTTGAGAAAGGCGACGCCGAGGAGGACGTTGATGAGCGGGTTGATAAAGTACCCGAGGCTCGTTTCGATGACATGGCCGGCGTTGACGGCCCACACAAAGAGGAGCCAGTTGGTGAAGATCATAAGCGCCGAGACCGTGTAGATGACAAGGTTGCGCTTGGTGAGCGCGGCATCTCGGAACGCGGGCCATTGGCAGGTACCCAGAATGACGAGGCTAAGCGCGAGGAAGGACCAGACGATGCGGTGCATGGCGAGCTGGAGCGCCGAGATGTCATCGAGCTGCTTCCAGTAGATGGGAAAGAAACCCCAGATGATAAAGGCCGCGAGCGCGTACGCGATGCCGAGGCGCATGGGCGATGGCGGGGATCGAGGAACACTGCCGATGGAAAGGGCAACGTCGGCGCGCACCCGGAACACCACCGACGCCGGATCGTTCCGAGGGACCCCTACATAAAATGAATAGCTTGTCTTTTGTATCAATGGGGTGGGGGCCTTGAAAAAAGACGTGGAGTTTGCACTTGAAGTTGAAGTATGGGTGGTGGAGGAGCTGCCACGTGGGTGCGACGATACTAGTAAGTAGCTCATGTAGTAGTCTCGTTCGACGGCGATGGCTGCTCGCGAGAAGCTGGCATAAGAGTTTACTACGACGTCGACGGCGTCTCCGAGACTAATAATGGGCACCTCTGACGAATAATGGGCTCCTCTCCAGCACCGGCAAAAGGTTCAATAAGATCACGTAAGCTAAGATCTTACTTGCTTATTTGGCTCGGCGGAAAGGCTACTGCAAGTACCCACTAGGATACGATTCGCACCAATCATGTATCGACCCACGACGAAGCAATCCTTGAGATCATTCTGTAAAGATTCAAAGTTGCTAAGTATGTAGTAGCTCGGAAAGTCCTAATGGCTAGAAGAGGACTAGACGCTGTCGACGGGAGGAGTCTGGACGCTGTTGGCCGCTTCTGCGATCTTGGCGCGATGGAGCTCGACAAGACTTTCCATCGTGTACAGTAGCAGCGCAGCCCACACGAGGATGAACCCAATGAGCTTGAACGTCGAGAAGGGCTCGTCATACATGAAGACGCCGAGCAAAAACTGAACGCTCGGCGCAATGTACTGCGTAATGCCGAGGAGACTGAGCGAAATGCGCGGCGCCGCAATCGCAAACAGCAACAGCGGCGCGATGGTCACGGCGCCGCCGCCCACGAGCATGAGATTCGATGTCGTGTCGACGTGGCCAAAGGCACCGGACCCGTTGCACTCGGCGACAACGAGGTAGACGACCGACGGCGGCAGCAGTAGCATGCACTCGAGCGTCAAGCCGTTCAGCGCGGTCAGCGGCGCCAGCTTCTTGATATAGCCGTAGAGCGCAAACGTTGTAGCGAGCGTGAGCGCAATCCACGGAAACTTGGCGTACGCGATCGCAACGACAAGGACACCGGCCGCGGCGACCGCGATCGCGACCCACTGAAGCCATCGGAGTCGCTCGTAGAACAAGACAACCCCCAGCACGACGTTGAGAAGCGGGTTGATAAAGTACCCGAGGCTGGCTTCGACGATGTACCCGGCGTTGATGGCCCAAACGAGGAGGAGCCAATTGGTGAGGATGAAGACGCTCGAGAGCGCGTAGATGCCGGCGACGCGCCACGATGCAATCGCTTGCAGATATGCTTGCAACTGGCGCGATCCCACGAGGTACAGCAGGAGCAGCACAAACGACCACACGATGCGGTGGAGCGCTAGCTGGACGGCCGAGATCGCCTCGAGCTGCTTCCAGTAGATCGGAAAGAGGCCCCAGAGCACAAAGCACCCGACTGCAGCGAGAAGACCAATGTGCGGCATTGGGCAAAACTAAAAATGACAGCAAAGGAGATTGCGACTTTACAAGGGCAGTATCCGCGCTCTACGAATGGTACTAGCGTTCGCGTTCACGCGGTGCTTGTGCGCTTTCTTGTGATGAGTAGTAGTCGTGTTCTAGTCGTTATGTCGCAACGTGTATGACGTCACCGGCGACTGGCTTTCGCCGAATCAGACACGGGGTAGGGTAAAACGAGTGATGACACGAAACGTGGCAGCGTGCAATCGCGGTGCGCACCTGGATACGCCAAGAGGACCAAGTTGGCGTGAGTAGAAAGGGTTCTGTTTTCTACAGTGATACAAATTATTGCCAAGTTGCGACACGAGGCGCACAAGGCTACCCGTCGCCTGTCCAGGTTCCTTTCAGACTGTTAGTGGGCGTGCTCATTTGAGAAAGCTCATCGAGATGGCGCAGCTAGGCGTTTGCAACAAGAAGAAGAGTGAAGGATATGCAAAAGCTCAGTATCAACGTATATAATGTATTTCTCTTTTACTGGTTTCATTTTTAGCCAATTCGAAGCAGTTAGGTGTATGGAGCACGACGTCACGCTCCATTGATGCATGCAATGTCCTGCGAATATAGTACGAACGCCCGAGACCTTCAAGCGCAGGCAAACGGCAAGTTGCAAAAGAGAAGAAACACGACATAAACGTTTGCGACTTGTCTTTTGCCTGCGCTTGAAGGTCTCGGGCGTTCGTACTATATTCGCAGGACGTGGCATGCGTCGATGGAGCGTGACGTAGTGCCCCATACATCTAAACTGCTTCCAATTGGCAACAAATGAAACCCGTAAAAAGAAAGAAACACGACATAAACTTTTGCAACTTGCCGTTTACCTGCGTTTGGAGATATCGAGCGTTGGTAATATGCACGTAGGATATTGCATGCATCGATGGTGCGTGACGTAGTGGTCCATACATCTAAACTGCTTCCGATTAGCTACAAATGACACCCGTAAGGCCATTGGAAGCTGCCGATGATAATGAGACCGAGGGTGACGAAGGACCAGACGATGCGGTGCATGGCGAGCTAGAGCGCCGAGATGTCATCGAGCTGCTTCCAGTAGATGACCAAAAAGGCCTCGTCATCAGACCGCCAAGTCGATTAGGCAGCTGTTTTGACCCTAATCCACCATCGGCATGCTTGGCCAGTATCGCAATTGGGCTCCTGTCGACGATCGCTTGTCGACAAACGTGTTGCTGTTCAAGCACTCTTGCGAGAACCATCCTCGCCGCTTCAGTTAAAGTAATTACTTGGCCCGCGCGATGCTTTCCGTGAGCTGCCATCGACGTTGTTGGAGAACTACGCTGGACGAGCCAGTCCGACGTTGCCGGTCGGGCTGATCGAGGCAGATGCGTGTGGGATACCAAGGGAATGACAGAATTCCTGAGGAGGAGTCAGCATCGCACGACTATGCATTTGTGTATTTGATGTAGTTTACTAGTATCGCTCAACTTCTCGTCACTTCGACATTGTCGTCTCCTGTGCGCGGAGGCTAACGCGGCATGTGCCGAAAATAAGTCCGGCTGTTTCAACCGACAACGTGTTTCCTACACCTGTTTTAAACACTCCGAGTTTGGATCCGAGAGCGATCGGCCGATGGACCGACCACCGACGCTCGAGGACCTGGTCCGGGACGACGGCGATGCAATGTACGTGGCAGAGCCGTCGCGCACCGAAGCATTCCTCAGTCGCATCATCGAGCAGCAGCAGGATGAGCTGCATGCACTGCGCAAGACCGACCAACTGCCGCGTGGCGACGCTGTCGAGGGCAACAACAACGACCTCGTCATGGAGATCTCGATCAGCACCTTTATCGACGTTCGCACCTTTGTTCCTTGATGTGCCGTCGTGGCTCATGGAGACTGCTAGCTTGAGAACGCGCTCTTGACCAAGAAGAAGCAGCTCTTGCAGCGCGACGTGACCATCTCGCAGCTCCGCGCCGCGCTCACCGACGCCAACGAGCGCGCTGACGCCACGCAGACCGAGTACGACACACTGCGGCGCGAGCACCACGCCTTGCGCCTCTCGCTCGAGGCGCCACGCGCGAAACCCAAAGACGACATGAGCGACCATACGCTGTGCCGGCGGACCATGCACGAGCTCGACCAGCAGCGGCAGACGCTGGTCGAGCGCTGCCGGCTCCTCGCGCTCGAGGCCGCGCGATACCGCCATCACCAAGAGCGACTCAAGGCGCAGTGGTCCGAGGCGACGCAGGCCGTTGACCAACTTCAACACCAGCGGCAGCAGCAGCTCGATGTGATCCACGATCTACAAGCGCAGGTGCACGCCTTCCGCGCCATGCAGACAACCGCAAACCCGTCAATCTCGACGACGCTTACGTCGTCATCGACCATGACCGAGGCGTCAAGTGATGCGCCATCGTACGAGGTCTCGGCGGTTCGAACCACGGACCTGCAGATCATCGCGGCTCAAAACCACCGCATCGAGGCCCTCGAGGGTGTCGTCGACGCGTTGCGTTCGCAGGTCGAAGCGCTGCACGCACAGCAAACAACGTTCGACGCCGAGCATGCAACGGTACGTCAACCCCATGTATCTGAGCTCACTTGAACGGTAGCTGCGACGCCGCGCCAACGTCTGGAAGGGCTGCATCTACACGCTTCTCAACAAGCACCACAAGAGAACGCTGGATCTCCAAGCCGCTCTCAAAGCGCGCGATCTGCTGCAAGCGGAGAAGCGACAGTACATTGCCGACTACAAGAAACGCAAAGCGCAGTGTAGCGCGCTGCAGGCAACGCTGGAGGCCGCCAACGACCAGCTCGAGAAGGACCAGAGCATGCTGGCCGAGCACAAGACGCGGTAGTCACTCGATGCGACGGCGGTCGTGCTGAATCGAGCTAGGATACGGTACTATAGCCAGACGATCCGACACAACGCCGAGCGGATGCGAGCACTCGTTGCGACATGCGAAGCCATGCAGTCCAAGGTAGCCTGCTAGACGGCCACCCTGTGCATTATTATGCTTTGTAGCTGCAAGTTATCCAGGCGCGCTACCAGCGGTCCAACGTCCAGCGCAAGCAGCTCGCGGCGCAGTCGTCGACGTACAAGAGCCTACTCCACGACGAGAAGCGCGAGCGCGAAGCGTACGTCCTTTCTCTTTCACTTCCACGCCGCCCACGGCGCTTTGCAGCGCGCTGGTCGAGATCGAAGCGTTCCGGAATGCGCTCGTGCAAGTGTGCCAAGAAGCAATCGCCATGCCGCCCCAGTGGACCGTGGAGCATGTACAGACCGTCACCGGCATCGCCGAGCCCCTCGTGTACGGCTAAGATGGAGGAATTGTACATTGTATTTTGTCCACATTTTGCATTTTTGTCCATAAAAAATTATATTGCGTGGAGCTATCGCAAGCGGCTACGTTTCGTGGTGCTTGAAGAAGCGCACGAGGTGCGGCAGCGCTGGCCCAAACGACGGGAACGCTTGCGTCCGGTCGTTGATCCACTGCGGCAGGCGCGACCGGATGATCGGCGTGTTGTAGCGCCGGTCGAGGAGCACAATGCTTGCGTAATCCTTTTGGTGGCGAATCGAGCGCCCAATGCTCTGGTTGACGGCCTACATGTCCGTTTTGTTTCAATACTTCAACTTGAAAGAGACGCCGACCTTCATGCACATGTTGGAGTAAAACTCGTGGGACGTGAGCTTGGCGCCGGACGCTTCCATGTACTTCATTTGCTGCAGAAGTTCGGCGTCGTGTGGGTTCGGGTACGGAAGCCCAACCATGACAACGCAGCTAATATGAGGTTGGATCGCGCTTAGGGTTGGGGTTCAACCGACCGCGCCAAATCGTCGCTGAAGTTGATGCCCTCCGACATCTTGCCGCCCACGACGCTAAAGAGCAAGCCACCTACGCACGCAATTCTTATTCTTAGTGCGTCCTGATGAAACGAGGTACCCGTGTCGTGGCAGGCTGCTGCGTACGCCGTCAAGACGCCGTCGACGTCGGCGGCCGACTTTGGTTCGCGAAAGATGCGTTTCTTTTGCTCGAGCGCCGCCAGTTGCCCTAGTTCAACCACTGAATTGTCGTGCAGTCGGTAGACTAGGAAACAACCGTTGGCCGTCCAGTGGTTCACAATCTGCTGCTCGTACGCGTACGAGGGGAAGAAGCATACGACGCCCGCCGGCACGATGCGTACGAGGTTGAGCAGAATGCGCCCGACTTCGTCCATCGTCTAGAAATGTTTTAACATAATAGTTGATATGTTGGACTATACCTGCGGTAAATTGCGTTTCTGGTACGTGAAGTCCAGTTCCTGGTTGGTCGGTCCGACACTCAGCGCCACTACGAATCTCGCATCAGTCGCTCGCTGTCGATCTTTGTCTACCGCCAGTCAAGTGCGACGGCGGAATGATGTGCCCGCACGAAAAGACCTTGAGCCGGTCGGGCGACGACCCAAGGAGGAGCTGGTGGAGGACTTGGTCGATCTAATCGCACGCAACTTTAACATTGGCACGGCCAATCAAGACGCTGTACGCACGGGCTGCATCGTGCCACCGGCGAGGATCACCGACCGCGCTTCCGATAGGACGTCCGCAAAGTGCAACGCGGGGTTGAGGAGGAGGAATTTCAGACACGGCATCTTGCCGTCGCCACCCTCCTTGTCCTACAATCATGTCTTGAAACACGCAACTTTCAACTGGTGACATACTTGATAGTGGAGCAGGAGCCGGCCGTTTGTCGACGCAGTTGTGAGCGCCAGCATGAACGACTGGATCGACCGGAGTGGCGAAATGTGCGTGGACGTTGCACCGACCGTCGTCGCCTCCTGAAGACGCTCGCCGTCCTCCGAGAACTCGCTCGATAAAAACCCAAGGAGCTACATCCACGGGTTGGTGATCGCACGAGAGTGTTGTGGCTCGTACTTTTTGAGAAAGCTGGCTGCGCTCGAGGTACTGGTGGAGCTTGAACAAATTGATGTTGTCAAGCTTGGTCTACACACACGCAATTTTGACATTTCGCAGGCGCAACGTCGGTACCTCGAAGAGAAAGTCCGTGATGCTCCAGACCGTCGTCGTGGCCTCCTTGGCTTTGGCTTTGGCCGTGAGAAACTTGTGGCAGCTCTGCAGCACATTCAAAAGCTGCTTGATGTAGTAGACGTTCCGGCCTTTCAGTCGCCCTTCGTAACTACACCGACATATTGTTTCTACTTTCTAAATACTGTGGGCTGGCCTACCGCTTGAAGTAGCTCCACACTTGGCGCCGGGTTTGAATCCACTGTTTTACAACTTGATACATTCTGTACCAAACGTTGGACGAGGCGTACCTGTTGGCTCGAGACGAGCACCGCGTACGTGGCGTTGACAGCATCGGCAATGTTGTGCGCTTCGTCAAAGATGACAATACTGTCCTTGAGGCGAATGCCGAGTGACTCGCGCGTCGCCTTGCTCAGTAGCATCGAGTACGGCATCGCAATCACCTGGTATTTTCGTATACTTTTCCGAAAATTCAAAGGCTTTATACCTGCGCCGCGGAGAGGGCCGACCGCGCGCCATAGTAGGCACACGCTGAGAGCTGGTCGCCGAGTGTATACAGCTCTTCAATGTCCTGGACCTGCGCCTAAAGGTATAATGTATGAATCGCAACATTCGAGTGTCAAAATTTGCGTACCAACGCGTGCTGGCGGAAGTACCGCTGCAATGATTTCTTATTGTACGGACACCCCGGCGCCTTCTTCTTTGCCGACGTTGACTGGATCAAGTCGAGACACTTGTCGTTCATCGCTGCGTCCGTCTTGAGCTTGCGGACGTCCGGGTGGATGCACAGCGACTTGCTACGGAATCCAGATGGCTAAATGCACGCCACTTTCGAGCCCACGCACCGAGCACCGAGTGTGAGCGTCCGCAGCGACGCGCCAAACTTGGTCTTCTTGATCTCGTGCATAAACTGGCTCAGCTGCGAGTGCGTTCGACTGCAGTAGAAGATCTAGTCAAGAGTGTGTACCATTTTCATCCTGTGAATGCTCGTGTCTACCTGCACGATGCCATAGTCGACTGGCTCGTCAAAGCCGCGGCCAGCGTCTTCATCGTCGACCTCGTCGTCGCTGTCGTCGCGGCTGCCCGTCTCCTTGTCACTGAGGTACTCGGGCACAATGTAGTTCTCGTCCGTCTCGAGCGTTGCAGCTGCCGGTGGCTTGCGGCCGCGCGGCGCGTCTCGACCGCCGTGCATGAGCCGCAGGTCTTTCATGCGCGCGTGCGCTGGATTCGCGCGGATCTCGTCAAGCTTGGTGCACAGCGCCTTGAGCTCGGCTTGGTGCGCGGCCCCGGCCGACGGCGCCGCGTACGCCCGCAGCCACGCAGGTTCGTCCGAGGCTGTGGCAGCCGCGTCCTTCTCAAGAAGGACACCGCGGCTGTCCGTGTTGTGCTCGAGCCACGTGAGCGTGCCGCAGATCAAACTCAGCGACTTGCCCTACATTGCCGTTGCAGAAAGTGCAATGTCAGAAAGGCGTACCGTGCCAGTGGGCGACTCGAAGATGCCAATCTTGCGCTCGTCAATGGCCTCGTAGAGCTCCTTCATGAGACTCTCTTGGATCGAGTACGGCGGAAACGGAAAGCCAAACGGATGCGCGTCCTCCTCGACCTTCTGCCGCTTCGGCGCGCTCATGCCTGACCTCGCTGGGATTGCAGATATGGAGTTATAGAGGTCTCTTGAAGTTTTATGCCATCCGGTTGCCGCTACAGTGTATGCGGAGGGGACAACCTTTCTCCTTCCCATGCAACGTCAAGCTTCATGGAAGGAGCTATGGTATAGCTCAAGGGCGGCGCCTGCCTCTACATACCTCTGCTCTTCAAAATGGGTCCTCTGGTTTCGTTTGATGAAGGTCGTTTACTGGGGTGCCGGCTTGAGCGAGACGAGTTGAGTCGAGACTTGATGCACAAGATCACCTAAAGTCGCTAGGCGCAGAAGGGCACAGTAGCCACAACTTCACAGTGTACTACTTTGCATAACCCAGAGTCCCAAGCGTGTGACACAGCTGGTGGGGCCGTGGTCGTCTCCGCCATGAGCGGTCTACAGCCTATGGCGCTGGACACGCCGTGTGACTCGAATTGTTTTCATCTGAGTCGACAAGCGTTGAATTGACACCACACGTGGCAGATGGTCTCAGCACGTCCACACCATGCACAGAGCTCGTTATCGAAACGAAAGCATCGGCTCGTTCAACGACAGGATGAACTCTGGGCTCCACTCCAAGTGTCGATGTACTAAGGAGGACGCTACTACATGTATCCAGGAAGTACTTGCGCACCTGCTCCAGAACGTCCATTTCGACGCCACATGCGCTTCGGTCCTCACGCTGACCTGATCACGCGGCAGCTTTGACCATGCGGTGTCGATACATCTGGGTGCAATTCTGCACAAAAGTTTTTCTTCAATGTATCAAAGAAAATACGTGGCGTCGACTCTGCTGGCGCCAACTCTAGCAAGTGCACAGCAAAACAGTGTGTTTGCCATCGCACGACAGCACCATTCTTCGATTTGACGAGTTCCCAAACCATCCAACCCACCACCAAGTAGCATGTCCTACGTCCTCGACATCCTCTCGCCGCGCGGCCTTCTCAAGCAGTGGCAGCCTGCCGTGCTCACGCTACACGAGCAAACGCTCACGCTCACCGACAAGGGCAAAGTCGTCACCACGCTGCGCGTCGCTGCTGCCCGCCCGCTCCCCGCGACGCCCAAACAAACGTACCTTGTCGAGATTTCGCCAGCTTCAGGCGGCAAGATCTTGACACTGGCAGTCACCACAGCCTTCTTGCAGTCGCAGCTCATCGCCGTCGTCAGTGCGGCTGCTGCCTCGCCGTCGTGGACGCTGCCGTCCGTGTCTCGACTCGACATGCAACTGGCTGTCGCCGACGCCGTTCTCGCTTCATCATCGTCGTCGTGTGAGCCGTGCGGTGTGACAGTCGACGACATCCAAGATCACTTGCGCGGCATGAAGACGATCTATGACGCCATTGGCAACCTTGATTCGCCAGAAGCGCTCTACGAGTACCTCTTGGAACTCGAAGCGGCGTACGTGGGCGAGCACCGGCAGTTGCATGCGGCGGGCGGACCGCGC